AGTAGAAATAGGAATAATGGGTAAAATTTTGCAAGCTACCAGCCAAGCCTCATCTTGATGACGTGTCCCAAACAACCTCAACAGGTAGGTCCTGCTCTTAGGAATCCACTTACCCCGTGGGTGAGGGGAAGCTGAGCGTGGAGACTCGACTTGCTCCAGGCGGTGTTATGGGGGAGGGGCAGAGTCGTGGTGGGAACCCAGGCTTCTCTGAGTCAAAACCACACATTGTAAAGGGTAATTCCATCCCCAAACAACTTTCATTTCATTTTTTGTTTATTTAAATTGAAATGTAATATATGTAGAGGAAAGGGCACATTCCAGAACTGGACAGTTCAGGAATTGTCACACATTGAACCCACACATGTCACCAGACCCAGATCAAGCATAGAGGGGATCTGCCTACACCCCAGAACATGCTTCTCCCCACCAATTAAAGCATCTTAACTCACTTTTCATTAATTTCAAGTAGTTAATTTTTAAATAGACTTTATTTTTAGAGCAGTTTTAGAGTTACAGAAAAAGAAAAGAAAACAACATTGGAAGTATAGAGTTCCAACACACCATTCAACCTACAATTTCCTGTTATTAACTAGTGTCTGGCATTAGTGTGGTGTGTTTATTACAACTGATGAACCAATACAGACACATGGTTATTAATTAAGGCCCAGAGTTTACATTAGAGTTCACTCTCTGGGTTGTACAGTCAACTCATTAGTTTTATTTAAAAAACAACGGAAGTGTTTTTGACTGAAAAATATGTGCTCATGGTATAGAAAAACAGAAAGCCCCCCCAAATAAAGTGGGAAAGTGAAGTCTCTCTTCCAGCCCATCCCCTGTTCTTCCAGGTCAGTTCCAGAGGCAGCACCATGGGGACACATCGGTCTTCAAAGCACTTTTTGTAGGTTTTTTTGCCTTAAAAAATTTGAGGCAAAATTCCCCTAATGCAAAATAACTTCTTTAAAAGTGAACAATTCAGTGGCATCTAGAACATTCACAATGTTGTACAACTACCATTTCTATTTTATTCCAAAACATTTCCATCTCTCCAAAGGGAGATCCTGTCCCCCAGCCCCTGGCAACCACTAATCCGCTTCCTCTCTCTACAGGTTTGCCTGTCCTGGACATTTCATATAAATGGAATCATACACTATGAGAGCTTTTGTTTCTGGCTTCCTTCACTCAGCATGTCCTCAAGTTCATCCATGGTGCACAATACATCAGAGCTTCATTCCATTTCATGGCTGAATAATGTTTCATTGTATGGATGGACCACATGATATTTGTCCATTAATGAGTTGAGGGCCATTTGGGTCATTTCCACCTTTTGGTGATTGTGAGAGTGCAGTTTTGAATGTTTGTACACAATATTTGTTTGAGTCCCTGTTTTCCATTCTTTTGGGTATACAAAATTATCCAGCCATGTAATATGAAAAATAGAAACATTTATTGAAGAAGATACAAGATACAAGAGACATTGTACATAGGACAATGACACCTCAGTTCCCTTCGAAGTAGGGACCTTGGGACCTCACACATTTCTCCCAGTCACCATCAGCTGCCCCATCATATTTTCCTTAATCTCATTGACAGTCTGAGATCTCTTCTCTTACTTTTAGCTTTGGGAAAGGCCAGAAGTTACAGTTCACCAAATATAGGCTGTAGGGGGGGTGCTGAGTAACCTTGGTAATTTGATGTTTTGCCAAAAAACTCCACACAAGATGTGATGCATAAGTGGGTACATTGTTGTGATGAAGCTGCCAATAACCAGTTGCCCATAGCTGTGGCCTTCTGAATCATCCAAATAGTTTCTGTGGAGGACTATTGAAGCTTAAAGCAACATTTGATGCAGATTTGTTGCTCTACTTGCTTAGTTGTTTTGAAAGCAACAGCCACACCGTACACATGCTCACTCAACAGCATCTATAACGCCCACTAACTAGTACAGTGCAGTTGTCATTGTTCACGCATGCACATTCCAGTCCACTCTCCTTTGCTGCCAGGTTACATCTATGTCATGTAAACAAACCATTCTCATTACACTAACAATGGCTGGATTTTTCCCGTACAGACCTTGCATACCTAGGAGTAGAATTCCTGGGTCATGTGATAATTTGATATTTAACTTTTTGAAGGGCCACCAAACTGTTTCCCACAGTGGTTGCACCATCTCAAAGCTGTTTGTAGCACTTTCTTTTGGGGGCTAGGCAGGAGTGCTCTTGTTTGGGGGCGGGGCAAGGGCAAACCAGCTGCAGAAAGTAGACAACTCCCTCATTTATTGAGCTTCTCCCTTGAGCATCAGCTGGACCTCTTGCTATTATTCCCATTTTATAGAGGAGAAGACTGAGGCTCCCAGGGTGAGAGCCAGTTCGGGACCCATAGCTTGTGCTCTTTCTGCTAGGAGCAGAGCTGGTGTCTGTCTTGCGAAGGGTTGCAGCCCACGCCTGACTTAGCGGAGTGGTGAGGTGGGCACAGGGCTTCAGAACTGCCCTCCCTGGCCCTCCTCATGCACTCACCTCCCCAGGTACCCACCCACCTGTGAGGCAGGCTCAGGGCTTCACTCCCTCTTTTCTCTGACCTCTCTATGGACCCACCAACCTGGAGCAGGGACCTCTTTTCCAGGGCTGGCACTTTCTCTTGTTCCAATCCTTGAGGAAGACGTTTTCTTTGTTGGGGTATCAGCTGGGACTTTCTGGGTAGGGGTGGGGCTCTTGCTGTGACTTCACTCAGAAGTCCCCCAACTCCCCGTGAGGGGTACTGGGAATGATGGCAAAAGACACCACATCCAGCATGTGCACAGTAATTCTTTAGAGATCGAGGGCAGGGGGCTGGCTGATGGTGGTGGCAAATGGCCTGTTAAGGCAGAGCTGGGTCTGGAGGAGGAGGAGGAGCTGCCATGGGCTGGGCTGGGGTAAAGGCAGGACAGGTGGAGGGAACAGCATGTGCAAAGGCTCTGAGGTAGGAATGAACTTGGCACATGCAGCAGTGGCTGGAGTTGAGTGAGCAAGAGGGAGAGCAATAGAAGACAGGGCTGGAGGGGTCAGCGGGGCCTAGGCCACACAAGGCATTATGGGGCTTGGAAAGGACTCTGAATGGTGTTCAGAGTGTAGTGGGGAGCCACAGGAGGATTCTGAGCTGGGGAAGGCCATGGTCTGGTTTCATTTTAGGAGGGTCCCTCTGGCTGCTGTGTGGAGAATGGACTGCTGGGTGTGGGGGCAGGATAGAACCAAGAAGACCAGTGGGAGCAGCCTGCAGTGGTGGCCTAACCTGGTCTGGGATGATGGAGATGGAGAGAAGTGAATGGATGTGAAAGATGTTTAGGGCAGACAATAGATTGGACGTGGGGGAAAAGGGGGAGATGAGGTAAATCTGAGGATCTGGGGATGCCCCCAGGGGTATCCAGGAGGTGGCTGGACCTACCAGGGGTTTATTCAGAGCTAGACACCCGGACATGGGAGGCCCTTCTGAGATGAGGTCACAGTAACCACGGGAGAGGGTGAGATCCCCCCAGGAGGTGTATATAGAGGGAAAGGAAGAGACAACACAGGGCCAAGCTCCACAGAACCCCAACATTTACAAATTGAGTGAAGAAGGGCCCAAAACAGATTGAGAAGGGGGGTGGTCCTTGTGGCTGATGTGGAAGATGGGCAGGGATCAGCTTCTGAAGGGTCAGCTTTTGATGCCAGGCTGAGGGCAGTGGAGAGCCATGAGGGTATTAGAGCAGGGGAATGGCAGACCTTCAGAAAGGTGACTGTGGTGACTGAGATGGGATCCAGACTGCAACCAGGATGTCCCGGGTTGGAAGCAATCTGTGTGGCCCCCCGTTGGCTAACTATATTGACCCCTGCCAAGATGGTAACCCTTCCCCACTCCTGCCCCTGCCACATGCAGGAAAGGTCATGCTGGGGTGGGTCTGGAGATCATCTTTTATAGCCAGCCCAGTTTCAGGTGGGGAAACAGGCCCAGGGCATAGCCAGTCAGTGGAGGAGTCAGGGCTAGTACCGAGTTGCTTTGGCTGTGCGTGTGCATTTAATAAGAAAGCCCGCCTGGCTGGCGTAGCTCAGTGGATTGAGCGCGGGCTGCGAACCAAAGTGTTGCAGGTTCGATTCCCAGCCAGGGTACATGCCTGGGTTGCAGGCCATAACCCCCAGCAACCGCACATTGATGTTTCTCTCTCTATCTCCCTCCCTTTCCTCTCTAAAAATAAATAAATAAAATATTAAAAAAACAAACAAACTACAAACATTCCTCTCAAGACTGGAACAAGACAGGGATGTCCACTTTCACCACTTAAAAAAAAAGCCCCCTGACTTACATTCTTCACTTCACTCAGGGCTCTGCTCAGATACCCCTCCCCAGAGAGGCCCTCCTGGACCGCCTCCTCTAATAACATTGCTCTCTCTCCTCTTACTCTGCGTATCAGTGTCCTGGGGCTGCTGGGACAAATGACTGCTAACTGAATATTGCTCCCCCCACCCCTGCAAGACAAAATTTTCTTCTCTCACAGGTCTGGAGGCCAGAAGTCTGAAATCTAGCAGGGCTCCACTCCCTCTGAAGCCTCTATGGCAGGATCCTTCCTGACTCTTCCAGCTTCTGGTGGCCCCAGGCATCCCTTGGCTTGTGGCCTCATCACTCCAATCTCGGCTTCCATCTTCACACGGCCTTCTCCTCTTCTGTGTGCCCAGTTTCCCTCTGCCTCTGTCTTCAAGGGACACTTGTGACTCCAGTTAGGACCCCCTCACCCCATAATCTAGGATAATCTCCCCATCTCAAGGTCCTTAATCCTATCTGCAAAGATTTTCCATAGAAGGCCACATTCCCAGGTTCCAGGGATTAGGATGCAGTGTCTTTGGCAAGGAGGAACAATATTCAGCCACCTCTCCACCTTACCTCCTTCTTGACTCGTAGCCTTTATATGGTGTGTTTTTTTACTTTTCACCTGATGACGTGTTTATTGATTTTTAGAGAGGAAAGAAGAGAGAAAGAGAGAAGCATCTATGTGAGAGAGACACATCAATCAGTTGCCTCCTGTACACACCCTGACCAGGGACCGAACCTGTAACCTAGGTATGTGCCGTGACCCGGGATCAAATCTGCAACATTTTGGTGTATGGGACAACGCTCCAATTAACTGAGCCATCCAGCCAGGGCTGTGTGGTATTTTATCATGTCTGTTGGTGGTCACCTCCCCTGAGGACCAGGGATATATCTGTCCTGCTCAACATTATATCCTCAGTGCCCAGACAAGAGTCACACACATAGCAGGGGCTCAAATATGTTTTGCCAGCTGAATGCTGGAGAAATGCATGTCGGGTGCTTGGTGAAGGGCCTGACCCATGGGTCGAAGTTCTCAGGAGTAATCACTAGCTGGCTTACCTCTGGAGAACCATTATGCACCATTAAATTGGTAAAGAAATAAACACCCACGGCTACTTCCTGTCGACTGTGTCACCTGGCACTCCCGTGCAAGAGGCAGCCCAATTGCATGGCAGCGTCCCCAGATCAGAGTGTCTGCCTGGGACTTGTGACTTGGACCTCTCTGTGCTTCATTTTGGGAGGTTGCCTTCTCCCCAACCCCACCTCCACCTGGACCTTTTAGGGGACAGATCACCTGTGTCAGGCAGTCTATATTTTACAAAAGATTTTAAAATGTGGTAAAATACACATAACATTTACTATCTTAACCATTTGAAGGGTACAGTTCAGTGACATTCTGTACATTCATATTGTTGTGTGACTGTCCTCACCATCCATCCCCAGTACTTGTTCATCCTCCCAAACTGAAACTGTCCCCACTAAACCCTCACTCCCCATCCCTCCTCCCCCAGCCCCTGGCTCCCACCTTCTACTTCCTGTCTCTAGGAATCTGACTCCTCGGGACCTCATGTAAGAGGGACCACACAGTATTTTTTTTTAAGATTTTATTTATTTATTTTTAGAAAGATGGGAAGAGAGGGAGAAATAGAGGGAGAAAAATGTTGATATGTGAGAGATACATTGATTGGTTGCCTCACACATGCCCTCAATCAGGGACCCAGCCTGTAACCCAGGCATGTGCCCTGACTAGGAATTGAACTGGTGGCCCTTTAGTTTGCAGGCCGGCACTTAATTGACTGAGGCACACTAGCCAGGGCATATTGTGTGTGTGTGTGTGTGTGTGTGTGTGTGTGTGTGTGTGTTACTGGCTTATTTCACTTAACATGATGTCCTTGAGGCTCATTCGTGTTGTAGCATGTGTATCAATTTCCTTTTCAAGACTGAATAATATTCCACTGTATGGACATACCCCATTTTGCTCATCCTTGGACACTTGGGTTGTTTCCACCTTTTGGCCATGATGAATAACGCTGCTATGGACATGAGTATACAAATATCTGATTCCCTGTTTTCACTTCTTTTGGTTATGTATCCAGACATAGTATTGCTGACACATGTGGTACTTCTGGTTAATTTCCTTTGAGGAACTTCCATACTGTTTTCCATAATACGGCTGCACCATATTACATTCCTACCAGCAATGCATATGGATTTCAGTTTCTCCACATCCTCGCCAACATTTGTGTTATTTTATTTTGATAGTAGCCATCCTAATAAGTGGTCACATCATCTTCATTCTAAGTCACACCCTCCCAGTGGGCCTCTCCAAATTTGGTGATGATCCATCCAGATATTATTGCACGCTGTAGTGATCAATAGAAATGTGTCTTCTGCGTGGATGATGAGGTTGGACATCAGCTGGTGGTGAGCCTGGGTCTGAGCCCCTAATGGCGACACCAGCGGGTAAGGCGGGTGGCGATTGAGGCTCAGGTGAGGACCTGGGATGCAGGGTTTCCTTCCTTCCTTCCTTCCTTCCTTCCTTCCTTCCTTCCTTCCTTCCTTCCTTCCTTCCTTCCTTCCTTCCTTCCTTCCTTCCTTCCTTCCTTCCTCCCTGCTCTTTAATAATTTTACAGAGAGAGGAAGGAAGAGAGAGAGGGGGAAACATAGATTGAACCCACAACCTAGTTATGTGCCCTGGCTGGGAATTGAACCCTCAACCTCTTGGTGTATAGGACAACACTCCAACCATCCAAGCCACCTGGCTAGGGCTGGAGTGCAGGATTTCTTTATCTGTGTTGCCAGAGGAGGTAGGAGCACATAGCAAACCCTTGGCTAGTAAGACTGGATGGAAAGAAGAGGTGAGGACAGAGCCCACTATTTTCAGAAATTTCCTTGGCATTGTCTGAACTACATTGGTTCTCACTGTGAAGGTGATTGAGACTGATCTCTGGTGGGTCTCCGGGGACCTCTACCAGCTCCTGTCTCCATTGAGATGGGGGCACTGACTTTGAGTTGTCTGGAAAATGGAGAGAATGATAGGACTTTCCTCCAAGGGTTACTTTAAGATGCCACAAGACAAGGCATGCACATTTCTGAGCATGATGCACAGCACGCTGTAAGGGCTCTATACCTGGTCATTATGTTAATGTTATTGTTACCTGCCCACTTTGTTTCGGTTCCTTTGGGAGCTGACTTTAGATCAAGGAATTGAGAGCAAGTAGTTTGTCTGGAAAGTGACCACAGAAAAGACAGTAAGGAAAAAGAAAGTGAACCTGAAAGGTTTGAAAACAGGGACTCAAGCAAATATTGACACGTGTCCATGCAGGTTCATAACAACACATGTCCCAATAGGCAAAAGGTGGAGACATCTGAGATGTCCATTGACAGATGAATGCATAAAACAAACCATGATGAACCCTTACAATGGCATGTCACTCAGCAGAAGGAGTGAAGCACCGACACAGGCTACAATGTGGATGCACCTCGAAAACATCATGCTGGGTGACAGGAGCCAGACCCTAACAACCACAGAGTGTACGATTCCATCCATGTAAAATATCTGGAAGAGGCAGATCCGTAGAGACAAACCGTAGATTGGTGGAGGCCAGGGGCTGAAGGTACAGGGCATGAGGAGCGATGCTCATGGGGATGGAGTTTCCTTTTGGGGTGATGCAACATTTTGGGACTAGACAGAGGTGATGGTTGCACAACAGTGTGAATGTACTAGGTGCCACTGAATTGTGCGCTTTAAAACGGTTCATTCTATGTCATGTGACTCTCACCTCAATTTAAAGAAGGAAGAAGAGGCAAAAGAAGGAAGTGAGGCCTTTAATAGAGAAACTTTCTCTTGTGGGCAGCAGGAGTTTAATCCCATTGGCAGTGCTTGTGGAACCCACACCTCGGGGCCATTGTGCCCAAGGGAAGAAAGCTCTGGCGTGTTTATTTAGCCACCTCATCAGTCATTGATGAGAGCTGCTTTTGGGGTGGGGTGTGTCTTAATGTTCCAGCCATAGGGAGCAGAGAAGTCAGGACGGATGTCCCGCAAAGTGAAGGCTGACGGCACATGGGGCACTTGTGCGTCCATCTGGCCAGCTGGCTGGAGGTCACTACTAGGGGCAGAAGAGATATATGTACCCTTGGCATCTGGGACTCACATGTATTGAGCGCCTACTGTGGGCCAGACACAACATGCTCGACTCTACAGGTCACCGTGTGTATGGCACACATGTGGCTGGATGGTGGTTCCCACCTGTGCTGACCCTCACCCAATGCATTCCCCCAGGATGCTGCCCATCACGGAATACCTGCTGCACCTTCTGGGACTGGAGAAGACCACCTTCCGCTTGTATGCCGTGTCTGTGATCCTGCTCTCCCTGCTCTTCTTCCTCTTCCGACTGCTGCTGCAGTTCCTGAGGCTCTGCTGGCAATTCTACATCACCTGCCGCCAGCTGCGCTGCTTCCCCCAGCCGCCCCGGCGCAACTGGCTGCTGGGCCACCTGGGCATGGTGTGTGTGGGCTGGGCAGGGCAGGGCTGAGCAGATCTCAGGTATTCAGGGAGTCCAATGGACTGCTGGCTTCCCACCACTCGCCCCCACCCCTGCCCCAGCAACAGGAATCTGGTTGGAGTTACAAACGGACCCATTTTACAGGATGTGAGACTGAGGCTCAGAGAGGGCTAGCAGTTTGTCCATGGTCACATAGCTGGGATGAGGCAGAGCTTACTCCAAAATTTTCTGTATAATTCCAGACTATTGCTGTACCTTTTATATGATATATGTTATATCTTATGATATAATGAGACATGATGTATTCAGGATACAGGTGCAGAATTCAGAATGCCTGTGAAGTTCATCAGGTTCATGGACTCTGACTGGGGATGAGGGGGGCATGCTACTGTAGATTTTATTGCTCCATCCCCAACCCCAGCATGGTTTCATACTCTCTCTCCCTCTTTAATGCTGTGGTCCCAGGACTGGACCCCAGGCCTTTCCTTGCATTTCATTTCTTATTTCACATGTATGTGCCAAGTATCATTCCAGGCAATTTATAAATGTTAACTCATTCAGTCCTCTTGACAATTTTAGGAGGTAGGTCCTGTGACTATCTTCATTTTGCACCTGAGAATACCAAGGCTCAGAGAGCTTAAGTAGTTGGCTCTAGGTCACACAGCTTGTGAGTGGCAGAGCCAAGTTCAAACACAGCTGTCTGGCTCCAGTGCCCCTGCTCTTAGCTATCTTCCCTTTGATACCTCTAGTTTCTGGATAAGAAAGGCTGGACTTTTCTAGAAGGGCTTCAGAGGTCAGGGGAGAGAAAACCAGACTCCTGAGGGTACTGAGGGCCCCCTTGCTGAGTGTGGAAGGGGACTTCGGAGAGGCAGTTTGGGGCAGCTGTCCTCGGGGTGCACTCATTGCCCTTATCTATCACCTACTGCCTGTGAGACTGTGAGCAAGCTCCTGCATACCCCCCATGCCTCAGTTTCCTCATCTGCGATGCAGGGGCTGTAATCACACCTATAACCTCGTGGGATTGTTTTGGCAATTCCTGCAGCCACGTCTGGGGCAGACTTGCCGGGAGCCTGCTCTACTGTGGTGGGCGTATCTATCCAACTCTTAGATCCTTCAGGGACAGGAAACATCAAGGGATTCTAGAAACATTTTAGATACTGCTTAGAGGGAGTGTCTCTGAAGAAGGAAGCAGGAGATCGATTTCCACTCAGTAGTTCAAAGGACTTTTATTTTATTTTATTTTATTTTATTTTTTGAATTATCTCCCTGGGGCCAGCACTCACTAAGTTTTGCCTGTTTGTACCTGGACCCCATCCCTCTCCCATCTTACCAGCCCTGCTCAGGCCTCGTCCTCCCCTGTTGGACCATGGTCTGGCCTCCTCCTGGGGCTCCCACCTCCAGTCTGGCCTCCTCAGTCCATACTTCATCCTGCCCCTGGAAGGATTCTTTAATTCAGCCACCTCCCCCTCCCCACTCACACCCTCCATGGCTCCCCACTGCTGTCCGGGGAAAGTCCCAGCTCCTCAGCTGGTGTTCAAGGCCCTTTTGACTCTGACCTCTACCCTCCTCACCTGTTCCACCATGCCCCTCTGTCCCACCGAATGAATGACTTCCAGTTCCCATAACAAGACTCCCACTCCCCCGTTCATGGCCTTTGCTGGAAACTGTGTCTTCTGCCCAGAATATTTTTCTCCATTAGATGAACATCTATTCCTCTTTCATGCCATATCTCTAGTGCCCTTCCTCCAGGAAGCCCTCTGATTTGGATGGTGGACCTAGAGGTAATAGCCAGGCTGTGGTACCCCAGGCAATTGACCAGAGCTTGTTCTGAAGTCCAGCCTTGACCTCATGGACCCAGCCCACCTCCCTGGGCCACAAGACCTGGGGGAGGCAATGATATCCCTTGATCGTGAATAGTTTCAAGGCTGATCCTGATAGAAAATGAAACATAGGAGCCAGAGAGGAGTAATTTATTCATTTATTCATTCGATAATTGCTGAGCCCTACCACTGGTCAAGCACTGGGTTAGGCCCCTTCGCATCTGAGCTCTCCTGTAATTCTCACAGCCTGTGAATTAGGGATGGATCTGCCCCATAGTGTGGATTTGATCTTTGGAGCTCAGAGAGGTTAAGGGACTTGTTCAAGGTCACATAGCAGCTGAGGGTGGATTTTAGTTCAGATTCTTCTGACATTAAGCCTGAAGTGCTTCTGCTTCATAGAGCATGTTGATTAAGAGAAGGCATTTGGAGCTGGGTGGCCCATGTTCAAATCCTGGCTCTGCCCAGTGGCAGATGGTGCTAGTCTCTGTCCACATCCTCTGGGCCCATTTCTGGGTACAATGGCCTGACTTCCAGCTGCCAGCATCTGCATTCTGGGGCTTCCTCTAGCAGCTGGAGCCAACTCTGCTGTGTGTACTGAGGGCTTAAGAGTGGCCCTCTGCCAGTGACTATGGAGCTATGTGAGTTTGTGTATAAACACCTCAGTCCCCTCTACCCTCAGGTGGGTTGACAGAGATGCATTTCTCCCAGGGGTCCCCCATGGTTGCCCATGGCAGTAACTTCCTCGACAGCTCACTCTTTGCTGACAGCCTTCCCTCACTCCATCACTTCCCTGCTTCCTTACCCATGTTTTTTGGGATCACCACCCCAAATAAAGCTCCTTGCCCCAGAGCCCTTGTCTCAGGACCTGCTTCTGGGGAGGTCCAACCAGGCCATCACTTCCTCACTCGTAACTTCACACAAACTAAAATGGGGAAATAGTAGCAACTCTGTCTCAGGGTTCTTCTGTGGGTTGAATATAAATCTATGAAAAATGCCCCAAGCTGTACCCAACATTGCAAGCACACGTCTGTGTTAAATATGACAGTATTAGTCATGTTTTATTACTGACCGAGCAAGAACTCGATAAGCTCCAGCCACTATCCATGTGTTTACTGTTCCCATTTTTATTTCTTGAACGCCAGCTGGGCATCAGGCCCCATATTGAGGTCCTCATGTTTTGTTATTTCATGAATCCTCTCAACTGTCCTCAGGGACCTGATTCTTTCCCACTTTTCAGATGAGGAAGTGGAAGCTCAGTGAGGTGCAGCCAACTCCCTGCAGCCATATGGCCCTTCCTGGCTTGTTTGAGGGCAGGGGAGGTGGCAGGCAGGAAGGAATGGGGGAAGCCAGGGCTGGGCACCTCCTCACTCTCCTTCCCTACCGTCCCCTACAGTACCTTCCAAATGAGACGGGCCTCCAGGATGAGAAGAAGGTGCTGGACAGCATGCACCATGTGGTCCTGGTGTGGATCGGACCTGTCCTACCACTGCTGGTCCTGGTGCACCCTGACTACATCAAACCCGTGGTGAGCGCCTCAGGTAGGTGGGCAGGGCCTCTGAGGGATGGGTAAATCCTCAACTCCCAGAGCTCACCATGGCTTCTGGGCAGGTGGGCTATCCAGAAGAAGGGTTATTTGAGGAAGGCTTTGAAGGATGAATAAGAGTTCACCAAAGGAGAAATGGCAATATGGAGAGTGGGGACAGCACGGAGAAAGGTGTGACTGATAGAGTCCTAGGAACTTTGAGAGGGTGCTCTTCTACTGAGAAGTCAGAACCAAACACGCTCAGATAAGTAGTTGCCCAAGATTCTGTTACCTGGTTGTCGCTCAGTTCTACAGGCACTCCCATCATTTGGGTTCTGACACTCCTGCTCTGACTGTCCCAGCCCATACCCTGCTCTCTTCACCCGGGCTGACCCTGACTGGCGGAGAGAGAGATGGAGGATTGTTTCTTCCTTCCACAATCCACACCTACCCCATAGTGTAGGACTCCCGTGAAGGCTTGGCAAGCTCTTGCTCAGCCTTCAACACCCAGCTCCAACAACCTCCTTCTCTAAGAAGTCTTCCCTGATACCCCAGTGGACCCTCTCTCCCAGACTTTCCCATTCTCAGTCCTGACAGGGAAGGGCTGAGTGTGCCTGTGTCCAGCTCAACTTTTTTTGTAAGTGGGGCTCTGGATCCTCAGTGTGGCCTTGCATGTAGCTAGCTGGGTACCTCCCAAAGCATCAGGGGACATTTGAGAGAGCAGGGATGGGAATAGAAGCCCCAGGAATTTCAGGATCTCTTGCCTCAGCTTGGGCCTCTACAAACACATATCTGGAGACCGCTTTCAAGGCTGCCACCAGGAGCCATGAAAGAGTAAGAGACTGCCATCCTTCCCTCCTCCAGTGATGCCTTCCCATTGCCTCTCCACCCCCACTGTTGCATTTGTGAGGGGGTGATCATCCCCATTGTACAAAGGGGGAAACAGACCTAGGAAGAGGTGACTCTTCCAAGGGATGGGCACTGGGTTTGGGAAGAGCCCTGGGGCCAGCTCTTGGGTGGGATGGGTTAGGATCCTGACTGGAGCATGCACCTACCATGTGACCCAGAAATTCATCAAGGCCCCAGTTTCTGATCTGTAAAATGGGGCCATTGTGAAGACTCAAAAATACAATGTAGCTAGGTACTAATAAAGGTTTCTTTTCTGCCTTCTTAATATACTTTTTTCCTTTCTGTCCCTAACTCTTCCTTATTCTCCTGACCTCCCCTCCCCCTAGAGCATCAGTTTCATGAGTATCATCCTTCATGATGTGCGACTCCAAGTAGATCAGGAAGTAGAGCCCCCAGCATGCGCTTGGCACTTAGCAGATGCTTGAGCCTCTCCTTCTTCCCTGCCCTTCCTTAGGGCAGGCAGGATATCCACTGCCTCTCCCTAGAAGAACAGGATGGGGGACCTCAGGTCGGGGAGGGTGGGGCTGTGAGTCAAGTGAGGCCTGGCCTCAGGGTGCCCCGGCCCTTCCATGCCTACTCACCTGGGATGGGACAGGTCTGAACCAAGTCTCAGACAGGGAGCTGATTCTTTCCCACTTCTCAGATGAGGAAGTGGAGGCTCAGTGAGGTGCAGCCAACTCCCTGCAGCCATATAGCCCTTCCTGGCTTGTTTGAGGGCAGGGGAGGTGGCAGGCAGGAAAGAATGGGCATTTCCTCATTTCCCCCTGGGGCCTCTGTGGGGGGCCACCCCTGGGGCCTTGCTGCTCTGAGCTTAAACCAGCACAGCTGATGAGCCCAGAGAAAAGCATGAGTCTTCTTGGAACCTTTGTTTTTTTTTTGTTTTTTTTTGTTTTTAATCTCCTAGTGGGCGTTTGGGATAGAGGACATTAATGGGGAAAAATAGGTGAAGATGCTTTACAGAGGACAAGACATGCTGTACAGGCATATAATTAGAGCTTGGTTTTATACATTCATTTTTTATTGAGATGAAATTCACATAACATATAATTAACCATTTTAAAGTGCACAAGTTGAGAGTGTAAGATAATTAATGTGCTCACAGTGTTGTGCAACAATTGGCTCTCTCTAGTTTCAAAATTTTTTGTGGCCCCATAAAACACCCTGCACCCATTAAGTAATCACTTGCCATTCCCTCTTCTCCCCATCTCCTGGTGAATATTAATCTACTTTCTGTCCCTATGGATCTTCCTATTCTGGATATATCATAGGAAAGGACACACTAAACGTGGTCATTTGTAACTGAATTCTTTCACTCAGCATAATGTTTTTGAGGTTCAAAGGCTGAGTTAACAGTCTATTGTATGGATGGACCACAATTTGCTCATCCACTCATCTGTTGATGGACATTTGGGTTGTTTCTACTTTTTGGCTGTTATAAATAATGCTGATAAGAACACATGTATAAGTTTTGATGTGTACATATATTTTTATACCTAGGAGTATCTGCCAAAAAACCTTGTGGGGTCATATGATAATCCTATGTTTAACATTTGGGGAACCTCCAAACTGTTTTCCACGGCAGCTACGCATCCACTTTTTACTAATAGGGACATGCTGTGAGCTGGGAACCCAGATATTCACCTCACAAGTTCTTGACACCAATGACTAGTAATTATAATCATAGTAGTAAAAATTACCAATGGTTGGTTAGTTATTCATTTACATGCACAAATATTTAATGAGCAACTACTGTATGCCAGGACTGTATAATAATTATATAATATATAATAGTATAATAACCTGTACTGTGTACAGGCTATTATGTGCCTATACAGCATGTCTTGTCCTCTGTAAAGCATCTCACCTATTTTTCCCCATTAATGTTCTCTATCCCAAATGCCCACTAGGAGATTAAAACAAAAACAAAAACAAAAACAAAGGTTCCAAGAAGACTCATGCTTTTCTCTGGGCTCATCAGCTGTGCTGGTTTAAGCTCAGAGCAGCAAGGCCCCAGGGGTGGTCCCCCAAGGAGGCCCCAGGGGGAAATGAAGTCTGAGACTTGGTCCAGGCCTGTCCCATCCCAGGTGAGCATATTAGTTCATTCTTTGAGTTTTTTAGGGGACCATGAGGCAGGCAGCATTGTTATATTTCCACTTTGGCAGGTAAGAACACGGAGGGGCACAGTGGCAACATGGCCGAGTTTACACACCTAGTTAGTGGAAGGGCTAGGATTTGAACCCAGACTTCACCAGCCCAGAGGCAAAGCTTTCAACCAGAGTGATACGCAGCTTTCTACTACACATCATGTGCAGGGCTTTTCTTCTATGACCTCCTCTAGGATAGACTTTACCACCCCCTTTTTACTGGAGGGAAAATTGATGGAAGAGGCAGCCTGGACACAAACTGTCCTGGCATTGAGTGGCTAGCATTGGAGTGGAGGAAGGACCCAATGATGGGAAAGCAAGGGTTCAGTTGGAGAGAGGGTTTGGAGAAGACTCTGCAGAAGGCATTAGTGAAGCTGGGCTTTGAAGGATGCATAAGAGTTTGCCAATGAGTAATTTTGGGTGGAGGACCCTATCAGTGCAAAGGTGCACATGTATGAAAGTGTAAGGGGAATTCAGGTGACTTGGGCTGTCTATAGCGAAGATGATATGTGTGCAGAAGTAAAAAAAATGAGACAGGAGCTGGACTCAGAGTGCCTTTGTGCAGAGTGAATGAGCTTGTGTTATCCTGGGGGTGATATGGAGCCATGGGGGGTGTTTGAGAAGGACAACCATTGGACAGGTCTGAGAGTCAGAGAGACCTCTGGGGGGCCTTGCGTGGAGTTGAGTCCTGAGAGGAGAGAAACAGCTAGACTCCTATTTTTCTCTCCAATATTTCTTCCAGGAAGCCTGTCTTGACTTCCAGCAGCCTTTTCTCTGTGCCTCCCTTCTCTCCTGGCACACTTCCTACCTTCTTGATAATTGCACAGCATGCCTCTGCTTCCCTTTCCCACCCCACCTCAAGCTCCTCCAGGCAGGGTGTGGAGCTGAGTCACCTATGGGTCTCCAGCATCATGCAGCATGGTTTGGGCATAGGAAGGTAGCGGAAGAGGTGTGTGTCAAATGGGAGAATGAATGGATAGATGACTGTATGAATGATTGGCCAATTCCTGGGGAGTGTGTGTGTAGGAGGCTGAGTCACAGCTCATGTAAAAAGTGACATCACTTGAGTTTCAGGTACTTCCTTCCTGGACTCCTGCCCATTCTGTCCCAAATTTGCTTAGCCTATGGAAAGCAAATTGCCCTGACTGGTGTGGTTCAGTGAGTTGGGCATTGTCCCATAAACTGAAAGGTTGCTGGTTTAATTTGTGGTCAGGTCACATGCCTGGGTTGCAGGTCAGGTCCCCAGTTGGGGGCATAGGAGAGGCAATCAACCAATATTTCTCTCAAGCATCAATGTTTCTCTCCCTCTCTTCCTCCCTTCCTCTCTCTCTAAAAATAAATGATTTTTTTTAAAAGAAAGGAAATTCACTCACCCATCCATCTATTCATAAGTTCACTCACCTTTTTCTTCATTCATTATTTGATTGGTTCATTCATTCATACAATAAAAATTTGCTTAGCACCAATATATCAGTGACCGACATGGTCCCTCTCCTCAAGGGGCTTGTAAGTGGATGGACACAATCCAGAGACTGATTGGTGGGGGACAGTATGGCATGCAAGCAGAAGGATAAGAAAAGAGTATGTAAGCAGAGAGGGCACCTGGTGAGAAGACTCAGAGCAGAGAGAGAGCATAGCTTTTGTCATGGAGCCAAGAAAAGTTTTGTGATGTTAGAACATTGAACGTATATTGTGGGGGTGGGGGTGGGAATAGAGAAGTCTGAGGGACATCTGGACTGGGTTAGATTATTCAGGGCTTTGAAAATGGGCCAACCAACTGGTACAGGAAGGGACATGGTTAGATCTAGAGCCAGATAAAATTCCCATGGGGCCAGGGTTCAGGATAGCCTGGCCAGGGCAAAGCTGCAGGCTGGGAGCCTCAGCTAGCAGAAAAGCGGGGATGCATTATGTTGCACAAGGCCTTCTGCATGGGGAGCACAGCCAGGTTTGGGAGCAAGAGACAGCATGTGGGGTTACTGAGTGTATGTTGAAGGATGAGATGGGAAAGGCACACTGGGGCAAGATAGGACAGGGATTTCAATGTTAACCTGAGCTCGAACTTTTTTTACCAGGGTGATAGGGAGCCATGGGAGGTGTTTGAGCAAGGGAGCCTCATGTTCAAGTCAGCATGTTATAAGGATCTTTCTAGGGTAGGTGTTAGGATGGATTGGAGGGGTGAGGTGGGAGGTCGGAGCCCAGAAAGGAGCCCTAAAGAGATCAGAAGCAGAGGTCAAGGGTCAGAATTCTGTTTTAAGCCATCATTGCCTCATTTGTCTCCATAGCTGCCATTGCCCCCAAGGATGATTTTTTCTATGGCTTCCTGAAACCTTGGCTGGGTGAGTGCGGGACTGGGTAGGCAGGGGCTTTGGGGAAAAGGGGTGGAGCATGAGGTTTCTTGGAGTGTTTGAGAGTAATTGGAGAGATCCCTAATCTCAGTCTTTGTGACCTAGGGGATGGGCTGCTACTTAGCAAAGGTGACAAGTGGAGCCAACACCGCCGCCTGCTGACACCTGCCTTCCACTTTGATATCCTGAAGCCCTACATGAAGATATTTAACCAGTGCACCAACATCATGCATGTGAGTCCCAAGGTTTCATGGGAAGAAGATATCCTGGTAGTGAGACTGGTCTAGGTTCCACCTTGTGGGTGAGCCATGCAGTGTCATAAAGCCTCACTTCCTTTATCTATGTCAGGCTTGTCATGCAGTTAGGTCACTGTCAGCCAGACTTTAAGCCTGTGGTCTCTGTGCCCATTTGATGTCTCTCTCTTCCAGGCTAAATGGCGGCGCCTGGCAGATGGTCCCATGGTCTCCCTTGACATGTTTGAGCATGTCAGCCTCATGACCCTGGACAGTCTTCAGAAGTGTGTCTTCAGCTACAATAGCAACTGCCAGGAGTGAGTGTGGCCTACTTGGGGAGGACAGAACCAGCTGCTTTAGGGGCAAGGTGGTGGGAAAAGAAAGGTGGTGTTAGGCACCTTTGGGCTGCTGGTGCTCTGCCAGGCAGGCTGTGTGATTCCAGGAAACTCACGTCATCTCTCTGAGCCTGTTCAGTAAATGCTAGTTTCTCTCTGAAGACTATGTGGTCTTTGGAAAGTATCTGCCTACTTTCTGAGCCTCTGTTTTCTTGTTTGATGACAGTCTCTGACTGTTTGAGAGATGCTTTAAAGATAAAATGATCTGTCCTGGCACACAGCAGACACTCAGTGGGTATTTGTTGAATGAATTAGTAACATAACCATCGCACAACCATTGTCCTGGTTTTTTCATTTATTGATTAATTCATTGCATATTCACTGTGTACTTACTATGTGCCTGGCATTATGCTAGCTACTGAGAATATGGTAGGGAAACAGATGAAATTTCAGTTCCTTGGAGCTTAGACTAGGTGGGGATATAAGGAATAAGGGACATAATGAATGTTCAGTTTGTATTACATAATAGGCTGTCAATAACAAGCTTCTGACTGTTACTCTGGGCCTTGCAGGGGTGTGTTTCAGTTGGATGAAGCAGAGATGGCCTTAGTAATTAATTAATTAATCTGAGAAATATTTGCTGAGTGCCTACTATGTACTAGTCCTGGACTAGGCACTGTGAATACAGTGGTCAGTAAAACAGACAAGGTCTTGCTCTTCTAGAACTTATATGTTGGTGGGAAGAAAGACAGTGACCATGAACAAATAAACAACAAATTGACCAACTGTGATAACTGTATGAAAACAAGCAGCACACTTCAGAACCAAGGACAGCTCCTTAAAACCCTGCCCCAGTGATTTAGTTCACAGGTGGCAAACACAAGGCCCCCGGGGCTGAATCCGGCCCTCCACCTTGTTTTATCCAGCCCAGCACCTTGTTTCTACCCAGTGGCAGCGCTAAGCTCTTGCTTAACTGTTAAGGAGTAGTTACATTTATACAGTCCTGAAGTTACACTCGACCCTTCGAAGGCTACCGTGAGGCTGATGTGGCTTTCAGTGAAAATGAGTTTAAAATCCCTAATTTAGTTGTTATTGTTTTAATAACAGCTTTACTGAGATATAATTCACATACCATACAATTCACCTATCAAAAGTAAACAATCCAATGGTTTCTAGTATATTTACAGAGTTCTCCAATCACCACAATCAATTTTAGAATATTTTCACCAAAAAGAAACCCTGTACATTTTATTTTATTTTTTTTTTTGGGGGGGGGATATGATGTTTATTGAGCTTCTACTCTGGTGGATATCAGAGTAGAAATGTCTGTATAAAACCAAATGTTTGTTACTATAACTTTGCATCACAATTAAAGTCCAGTTTTTTTAAAATAGTCAACTCGCCCTGGCTGGCGTAGCTCAGTGGATTGAGCACGGGCTGCGAACCGAAGTGTTGCAGGTTTGATTCCCAGCCAGGGTACATTCCTGGGTTGCAGGCCATAACCCCCAGCAACCACACATTGATGTTTCTCTCTCTCTCTCTCTCTCTCTCTCTCTCTCTCTCTCCCTCCCTTCTCTCTCTAAAAATAAATAAAAATAAAATCTTTAAAAAAAATAGTCAACTCAATCAAAACTCACTATGTTAGAATCAATAGCTTCTTTGAAGCCATAGTAACACTTAAATATGGCTAAGACACAAATGCAGAGATTTGGTTTGTTGGAAAGCTAATTAAACTCCCAACTTGCTCAAATATAATTACAGAAAGGCAAAATTGTGTTTTTCATAGAGATACAACCCACTGGAATCACCAATACTGGACAGCAGTTACAGCCCTGAGATAATGAGAAATCCAAGCATCCTTTGGACAGTCTTCTGCTGTCCTTTCTTGCCAATCAGAGATTTGTGGATGGGTGGAGTGACACCACCACCAGCAGTTGTAGCCTTGATGAGAGAGAGAGTCCAATTCTTCATCTTCATGAATAGCAAGTTGCAAATGTGGAGGGGTAATTATACTTTACGTTTAAGTCTTTCAAGGCATTTCCCGCCGATTCAGGCACCTCTGTGGTGAAGTCCTCCAGGGTGGCTACACTGTATACAGCTGCAGTCGCACCCACGCGTCCAAACTGGTCGTCCTAGATCTCAGGGCCCACCAGTAACTGTAAACCAGCTCTCTGTGAGCAGGAAATGGCCTTGGCCTTCCTGGAGTCCTTCCCAGCTTTCCTGCCAGTCATTTCAAATTCTCATGAAGCTCAAACAAGCAAGGCAGAGAAAGGACTAGTCAGATGCCTAGCAAGATCCACTGCCTCCATGGTCACACCGTGATTCAAACTGCCCCTGCACATTCTAGTACTCACACCCAGTCGCAATTGTCCTCCAGGTCTAGGCAGTCATTAATCTGGCTTCTGTATCTATAGGTTAATCTATTACGGAAATTTCATAGGCGGAATTATACAGACTTTTGTGGGTGGTTTCTTTTACTCTCCATAATCTTTCAGATTTATGCATATCATAGTAGGTATCAATAATTCATTTTTAAATTGCTGAATAATATTCCATTTACCACATAATACCACATTTTGTTTATGCAATTATCTGTTGATGGACATTTGGGTTGTTTCCACTTTTTGGTCATTATGAATAATGCTGCTATAAACATTCATACACAAGTTTTTGAGTATATATGTTTTTAATTTTCTTGGGTATATACATAGGAGTTGAATTGCTGGTTATATGCTAACTTATTATGTTTAACTCTTTGAGGAAGTGCCAGATTATTTCTTAAAGTGGTTACACCATTTGACAATCTCACCAGCAGTATACAAGGGTTCTAATTCCTCCACACCCTAACCAATACTTGTAATTATCTGTCTTTTTATTATAGCCATCCTAGTCATGGTGAAGTGGTATCTCGTGATTTTGATTTGCATTTCCCTAATGGCTAATGATGTTGAGAATTTTTCATGTACTTGTTGGCCATTTTTATATCCTCTCTAGAGAAATGTCTATTCATATCCTTTGCCCATTTTTAAATTGAGGTATTTGTGTTGTTATTGAGGTTTAAGAGTTCTTTTCTTCTTTAAAATCCTCACCCAAGGATATGTCTTTATTGATTTTAGAGAGAGAAGAAGTAGCGGGGAGAGAGAGGGCTCGATGTTAGAGAGAAACATTGATTGGTTGCCTCCTGACCAGGGATTGAGCCCACAACCTTTTGGTGCATGGCACAGTGCTCCACCTAATGTGCTACCTGGCCAGGGCAAGAGTCCTTTATACAATTTAGATACAAGTTCCTCATCACATACATGGTTTGCAAGTGTGGCAATTTAGTTTTAGTGATGTTACATCAGTCTGGAAGTCCTCATCCCCCTTTGGGCCTGTGTTAAAATGCACCCAGGTTTTGGTTTTATTCAGGTGTGGTGAGGCCAACAGATCAGAAGATGATTGCTACTGAAAATATAGTCCATTCCTCCCCATTCCCAAGATGGGGGGACATGCCACACCACATAGGCCATGTGGGGAAGCACCAGAAGAAAGCATGGCAAAAGCCTTTTTTGTGGGGGTTCTAGGAAGAAACAGAAATGCAGGGTATGCAGGATTGGCTAGTTCAGATAATTTCTGTGGGCTCTGGGACATAGGGGTGCCTGTGTTGTCTAGCACCTGGCTCTGGGGTGATTACAGCAGGAGAATAGGGGGGCTCAGCTGGATCACATTTGGAGTAGGGGCTGTGGCATGGTTGGTTTGCAGAAGCAAGGCATGCTTCTGAGTGAGTCTCTAGGAATAGGCTAGTCCTGGGAGGGACAGTGTCATTCCAGGCAGCGAGGTCCCTGATGGTAGAACATCAAAAATATACGAAAATAAAATATAGTTAACCCAGGGCCTCTCTTGGTCATCTACCCACTGGGAGAGGATGATTGTCTTAGGGAATGGGTCTACACTCGCAGCCCTTCTCCCTGGCAGGAAGATGAACGATTACATCTCAGCCATCATCGAGCTGAGTGCACTGGCGGTCCGACGCCAGTATCGCCTGCACCACTACATCGACCTCATCTACTATCACACAGCAGACGGGCGGCGCTTCCGTGAGGCCTGTGACACCGTGCACCGCTTCACCACAGAGGTCATCCAGGAGCGGCGGTTGGTGCTCCACCAGCAAGGGGCCAAGGCCTGGCTTAAGTCCAAGCAGGGCAAGACCTTGGATTTCATTGATGTGCTGCTTCTGGCCAGGGTGAGGCTGGGCCTGGAGGGTGGGCCCTGCCCAGGATGGCCTCCTTGTGAGTTGTACGAACTGCCTGAAATAACAAACACCCAAACTAACTTAAACATAGGTTGCAGGCAGAGGCAAAATGCATAAGACTTACTATATTCGTTTGCTAGGGCTGCTGTAACAAACTGCCATGCATTAGGTAGCTCAAATAACAGAAATTCATCTTCTCAGTTCTGGAGGTGGGAAGTCTGAGATCAAGGTGTCACAGGGCTGGTTTCTTCAGAGGCCTCCCTCCTTGGTGTGTAGATAGCCATGTTCTCCCACATGTTCACAGGGTCTTCCCTCTGTGCATGTCTGTGTCCTAACCTCCTCTTCTCACAAGGACCCAATGATATTGGATTATGGCCCACTCTAATGACCTCATTGTAAATTAATTACTTCTGCAAAGGCCCCATCTCCAAACATACTCATGTTCTGAGGTCCTGGGGGGTTAGGACTTCAACATATGAGTTTCAAAAGTGGGAATGGAGGTGGAGGGAGGAGAGACACAATTTTGCCCATAATACTTGCAAAGATGAAATACATGACCTTGAAGACATGTGACAGCTGCAGAGAAAGGTGGTCACCCATTTGTGGTCCTGCCGTGGAATTTCTGAGCAGCACTGGGGTTCTGGATTCGGGCAGTCCAAGACTCCAGTTCTGACTTTGATGCTTCATGGATGCTTGACCTTAGTCATCTGAGTCTTCCCTCTGAGCCTCAGTTTCCTCATTTATGACACGAAGACCATATGACTGACTGATCATAAGATTGTTGGTGCTAGGAGCTAGCAGTTCAAGAAACACGAACCCCTTTCTTCCTCTCCTCTTTAACTCTCTTTCTCTCTTTCTTAGATAAGTACCATACCTCCATCTTCCTGGAATCTTTTCTCCTGTAGCTTGGCTTAAGAGAGAGAAGGGGGTATTTTCGACTTTGGAGAAGCGCCCAGCATGTGGAGGGTGGGATGAAGTTGGCTGAGCATTGTCTACTGCCCTTTCCAGGATGAAGATGGCAAGGAACTGACAGATGAGGACATCCGAGCTGAGGCAGACACCTTCATGTTTGAGGGTGAGGACATGGTGCAAGGCTGGGGGAGCATGAGGGCACCCACTGTCTGAAGATAGCATCTCTGCTATCTCCAGGAAGCTTCCATTTGAGCTCCTCATCTGCCTGCAGGTCATGACACAACAACAAGTGGGCTGTCGTGGGTGCTGTTTAACTTGGCCAAGTACCCAGAGTACCAGGAGAAGTGCCGGGAAGAGATCCAGGAAGTCATGAAAGGCCGGGAGCTGGAGGAGCTGGAGTGGTGAGTCTGTGGTCATGGGCAAGGTGGGGACAGGTTGAGCTTTGGGTGTGACTCTCTCTCCTCTACCACTTATTGTCTTTCTGAATCTCAAACAAATCACTTAAGATTATTGAATTTCAACTCTTTAACTGTAAAACAGGACGACAATAATGCATCTGCCTACATCATAATGTAGGAGTTCTTAGGAGGGTCTTAGCAATGGTTGCTGTAATGCTGCATAACAGCCTCTGAACTCAGGGTTTGCAGTGGGCATTTATTTCTTGCTCTCGTTGGCATGTTACTCTCATTACTGCTGGGTGATGCTGAATTGAACAAGGTTGCTTCCAAACTGAGGTTCAGGTTAAGGTCTGCTTCATATGTTTCCTTCTCATTGTCCTTGAACCAGCAACTACTCTGGGCATGTTCCTCTCAAGGCAGACTCCAGAAATACAAAGAGCCACAGAAACTTTTAAAAGATTCACTAGAGTGGCATTGCTTAATAAAAATACAGGTTTTAGGGGTACAATTCTACACTACATCATCTGTATACTGTATTGTGTGTTCACCACCCCAAGTCAAATCTCCTTCCATCACCATTTAGAGCCACACAACTAAAACCTCTGCTTGCATTGTAACATTCCGCTAGTTAAAGCAAGTCACATGGCCAAGCCCAACATGAACAGGGTGGGACATACACTCTGCCCACCTAAGTGGAACACACTGCAGAATTAGAGGGCACGAGTGTATAATTCGAACACAAAAGGAAGTGAAGAATCAAGGACAATAATCCAGTTGACTTTGGATGTGTGTTGTATAGAGCTGCTTCTGGGTGATGCCAAGAAAACACAACATTGAATAGCATAGAACGGTGAGAAAGTGGTTCAGTGTCACCCTTTCAGATTATGAACTCTCACTTGGGTGCTACTGGGTCTTCAACACCTTGCTACCTGCCTTTTCAACTAAGGGAGAACATGCCCCAGGTTCTGAGAACTGCACAGGAACTGGTCTCTAGCCAGAACTTAATAACTCTCTTCTGGTTTCCCAGTGATGCTTATGTTTATGACACTTTTATGCCAGGCATGCTGTTTGCCCTTTAAAATAGCAACATAAAGTTTTCTTTGAAAGAGAACCTGTTGGTGTGAACAACCTAGATTATGATCCAAGAGTTATAATTAATCCAATTTTGGGCTCTGAAGTTCAAAGGGAAAAACTAAGTAAGTAACAGTAAAAGGAGAGGATGTGTGAATTTTTAAATACTGAAACTGATCCACGCGAGTTGGTAACTTGCTGCTGCCCAGACCCCTTGGCTTTCCTGGCACCTCCTCCGGTGCCCCTGATTTCCACATAATTCGTCAGTTAAAAGGTTAATGCTGGGCCCTCAGAATGCTGTGCCTGCTAGTGTTGGCCTGATTTGCTGGGAGTCAGATGTTGAGGGTTAGTAGTGTGTGCAAGGCACAGCTGTAAGTGTCAAAAATTGGGGTGACTCTGAAATAGAGATCCTGGGCTAGTTTCCTGTGTGGTTGATCCTGAGTATGTGTGTGTGAGTGTGTGGCCTGGCCTGCAGTCACCCACACCCCCATTCCATTATCCCCAGGGATGACCTGACCCAGCTGCCCTTCACCACTATGTGCATCAAGGAGAGCCTACGGCAGTTCCCACCCGTGACCCTGGTCTCCCGCCGCTGCACAGAGGACATCAAGCTTCCAGATGGGCGTATCATCCCCAAAGGTGCGCACTGTGTGCTCCCTGCTGCCTGGCTGCACTATTGTTCATGGGGTCTGGTCGTGCTTGCTGCAGGTGTACCATCCTTTTAGATGGGGCAGCTCCATGTGGATGTTGTGTAGGGGGGAGATAGAGGCAGGTGAGTCCAGGTGGAAAGAAGCAGTAAGTATGCCAGGGTGGGCCCTCTGTAGGTAGAGGAGGGTTGGTTTCATTCAGTTGGCAGATATCCCCTGGAGGCCCAGCCCTGTCCTGGGTGATGCTAGGGAACTAGAGAGGCCTCATCCCCAGGACCAGGCTGGGGAATAAAGCAGGGTACAGACATTCCCAGCCACATGGGGTCAGGGATGGGCTAAAGGGAGGGACAGGGGCTGGCACAGCCCAAAAGAAGGAGCCATGGCTCTATCTGGGGGAGAATGCAGGGAGGGCTGCTTGGAAGAGGAAATATGGGAGGTGAGCCTTGGAGGTTGGAAATGAAAGAACAAGAACCTCAGGGTACAGATAGTGAAAGGCCTTCAATGCCAGATTGAGGCACTTGAACTTGATCCTCAGGGCAGCAGGGAGGCATGGGAGGCATTTGAGCTGAGGAGAAATGTCAAATATGTGAGTAAGAAAGATCCCTGTGTGGCCAGCAGAGCAGCCAGAAAGGTGATGGGGACCTCTTAGGGAGGCATGCAGCAGAATTTTTCAGGGAAGAATGGGCAGGAAAAGTGGCAGATGGCTCGTGGAACACCATGTTCCAGAGGAAACAGGAGGGGTAGGTCCCCAGAGAAGACCCTCACTTCCCTATGCCCCACTGACCCCACCCCTCCCCACAGGAATTATCTGCTTGGTCAGCATCTACGGAATCCACTACAACCCTACAGTGTGGCCTGACTCCAAGGTGAGCTCCTCTTCCCCCTCAGCTTCTTCCTCAGAAGCGGCAGTCAGGGGGCAGTGGGGCCTCCCCTGCCCTGCTTCCCAGGGAGCCAGACAGCAGGGCTGACTGCAGGATTTGAGCACCCTGCCCCCCATTTATTCACCCACTCAGTGTGAATTCATCAGGTCCACAAATGTTTATTGAACACCTATTGTGTGCCAGACCCTGTGCTGGGCACTGAGAACAGAAAGAGATATTGTCTTTACCCTCACAGTGAAGTGCAAGAAGAGCACAACTAAGATGATTTTGGGTATTGGTAAATGTACAAACCAAATAAAAAACGGAGTGGGGTGGGGAATAGGGGCGCACTTTAGCTCACATGGTGAGGAAAGATCTTGTGGAAGAAGAGATATTTGAGCTGACACCTGAAAAGTTTGAAGAGCATGGAGTAGCATGTTCCAGGCAGCGTTAACAGCAGGTGCAAAGGTCCTGGGGTGGGAATGAGTCTGGCATGCCTGAACAGCAAAAGGAGGTGGTCTGGCTGGATTGTAGTGTGGTTCTCTGTCCAGCTGGGCTGCTCCCCAGAGGCTGAGGAAGGGGGCCAAGCTGATATGGATGTGCCAGTCCTCAGACTCACCCAGGCTGCTCCTACTTAGGTGTACAACCCCTATCGCTTTGACCCGGATAATGCACAGCAGCGCTCGCCGCTGGCCTTCGTGCCCTTCTCTGCAGGACCCAGGTAACTCTCCTATTTCCCCCAGTCCAAGCCAAGCATAGGAGGAACATCGTGGCTGCGGATAGTCAGGGATGTGCCTATCAAGGACAGAGACCACATCACACCTATGGGTCATTTCTGCTAACCCTCTTCGTATCCTCAATGCACCCGTAAGCCCCCAAATCAGATATGTGACAGCACCCCTGGGTATTAAGTGCACCTACTATGTGTTGGGCCCTGAGTTCTGGGCTCATAGGCTTCCAAAGGCTCTTTGCCGCATTGTCCCGTTTTGCAGATGAAGGAACCGAGGCCCAGAGGGGGAGGTTATTTACTCCGTCCCAGGGACCCCGCTCACACAGTTGTCCTTCCTCCAGGAACTGCATTGGACAGAGCTTCGCTATGGCCGAGATGCGCGTGGTCGTGGCGCTGACGCTGCTGCGCTTCCGTCTGAGCGTGGACCGAACGCACAAGGTGCGACGGAAGCCGGAGCTTATACTGCGCACGGAGAAGGGCCTCTGGCTCAATGTGGAGCCGCTACCTCCACGGGCCTGAGAGCAGGTGCGCTCCTGAGGAGCCCCAGGCCTAAGACTCGCCCAGAGGCCGAGGCCCCATCCTCAAGGGGCCAGGCCCCGCCCCCAAAGTCCTGTGGCATAGGCCATACCCCTCGAAGTCCAGGCTCCGCTCCAGATGGTCAGGGTCCTCCTTAGAGCAGCGGGTAGGTGCAGGCCACACCCTTGAGGTCCAGGTCCTACCCCTGTCAGTACTTGTTCTGGTTCTCTTGTTTGAGGACTAGGCTAGGCCACACCCCTCGGGTCCAGACCCTGTCCTCAGCATCCCACGGATTCAGGTCCTCAGGCCCCACCCACCCAGCTGTCTAAGATCCTAAGACCAGACATTTAAGGCGTCCTGGGTTCAGGCGTGGCCCCACGTGGACTCTGGAAGGCTTCTAAATGGAGGACTTGACAGCTAGAGCCCGAGGTCAGAGCCTTGAACTTGGACATCACCTTCCTGAGCACCGCTCGCCCCCCCGCTCCCCCTGCAGCTCAGATTGGTGAACCTCTCAGGCATCAGGCTACATCCCATGGCTGTTTACTGTTGTTGTTTTTAAAACTCAGACCCTCCTTTCCTCCCAGGCCCTTCTTTCCTCCTTTACTCCAAGGCCCTTTTCTAAGTGTTCTGATTTTTGTAGAATAAAGGCAAGGGACACAGACATCCACTGCCGTCCACCCTCTAGCATGACCAGACCCTGACACTTGGAGCCCAGCAAGGAAATGAGGGCCCCTGAACAGTTGGGAGGCAGCTGAGGGAAGCTGTGAGCCAGAAGGCTGGAAAGCCATTTGTCCTCGGACATAAACTCAGACTTTTGGGGACAGTTTGTGTATTAATTTATTTCATCAATAGGCTGCATATTAATTGTCTGCTGGCACAGGGCCAGGAGCACTGCCAGCTTGATTTCTGCCCTCAAGAGGATGGGGGTGACAAATGTTGAACAAATAATTCTACATATAAATATCTACTTAAACCCGTGACAAGTGCTCCAAGGGAGAGGTTGTTGGTACTGGGCGAGCATAACAGTTGATGTGGGTGGCTCAGGGAGAGCTTCTCTGATATGGAAGTGGGAGTAGAATTTGAGTGCTGACAAGGGAGAGGAGAGCATTCCTGGCAGAAGGAACAACATCTGCAGATGTCTCGAGATGAGGAAGAGCTTGAAGAACTCACAGGGGGCCAAGGTGGCTGGATCTGAAGAATGGGGCAGAATGGAGGAAGCGGGGGCAGGAGCCAACTGCTTAGAACTGTGGGCCATGTCACTATTCAGATCTTGTGGTGAGGGCAATAGGGAGCTATAGCGGGTGTGTGAGCAGAGACACAACATGTACTGATTGGATCTGAGCTGGCAGGGAAGTGGCTTGGAAGGGAGTATGTGGGACTGGAAACCCAGGGAAGAGGGAGGCTGAGGTTCAGGTGGGATGGGAAGGGCAGGGGCTGAGGGGAGGGAGGAGGTTAGGGCAAGTCCCCAGTCTTTGGCTGGGGGAACTGGATGGCGGAGTACAATGATGATACAGAAGGTAAGGCAATGACAGTGTCTACAAGAATCACATTAATTCATCAAACTGAAAACCTTCTGGGAGCCAGGCAGTGTTTGAGCTCTTGCATAACTGACATTCTAGAATGGGGAGCCAATAAATGATTAATAAGCAAATAAATAAGTAAATTTACACAGGGCCTTAGAAACCACGGATTTTATTGTGAGAGAAATAGGGAGCCATGGAGAGCCCCAAGCAGAGGACAGACAAGATTTGTCTTATAGTCTTTGGCTGCTATGTTGAATAGGGACTGTGGGGGGCAAGGATAGGACTATGAAGATAGGGTGGGGGTGGCTACATTAGCCCAGGTGAGAGATGACAGTGGCTCCAACCAAACTAGCAGCTGTAAAGGTGAAGAGGGGCGATTGGATGCTGACGAGGAATGATTGTTTTATGAAGGTCATCCTGGCGGGTTTTCCAATGGATGGAATGTGGGGTTCAGGAAAAGGGCAGGACTCCAGGCCTGAGCACCTGGAAAGAAAGGTGGAGGTGCCATCAACCGAGATGGGGAATGCTGAATGAAGTAAGCTGTTTTGGGGGTGAGATCAACATGTCAGTTTGGGCCAGGAGGAGCTGGAGCATCAAGCTGGCAGCTGGTCTCAAATTTGGGAGAGAGTTCTAGGCTAGAAGATGCATTTGGGAAGCCTCAGCATTTAGATGGTATTTAAAGCCCAAAGACGGTGAGATACCAGGATGGTGTGCGTGTGTGTGTGTGTGTGTGTGTTCACGAAGGAGGGATTTAAGGACCAAGCCCTGGGGGTCTGCACAGTTAATATAACAATAAAGAGATTTAAAATTGATTTAGTGCTTCCTGTGTGTCCTTCCCATTTAATATTCTCATTCAATTCTCACAGGTACTGTTATTATGACATGGGTATTGCTACTATCTCATTTTACTGAGGTGGGAATTGCGTGCCCCAGAGTGAAATGACTCACCTAAGGTCCAACAGCGATATTATTGTGAGCTCAGAGGGGCCCTGAGTCCTTTTCTAACACATTTCTTGGGCCTCCTGGTCCTGCTCTGGGTTCTTAGACTCTGCCTAGAAGGGGCATCAGCAGATAAGGCTGGGGTGATGGATTTGATGAGTTGAAGCTGGGCTGTCGATGCCAGGGCGTCCTCGGGTGGCTTGTGCTGGGATTGTTGGTCGGAATGCCCTGTCCAGGCTACTTCTAAGATTAATTGAAAACATGTGGTCCTGGACCCTGACGAAACCACCAGCTCTTGCTGATGCTGCCTCTCAAACACTCCAGTCCCGACGGAGGTTCTCCAAGCTCTCGACATTCTCCAAACATCGCACCGGCCTCCCTCAAACTCACCCCTCCACTCCCGACCAACGCCTCAGTGCAAACCCTTCATCCGCCCGCAAAAATATCTTGACCTTGGGAGGAGACGTATATGGGTTCAATCCCAGGCTCTGATCCTTGAGGTGGCCTTGGCACGCGACTGCCCCTCTCTGCACCACGGGTCTCCCGTGAATTTTACGGGATCACCATGCTTGTAATGCACGTTGACTTTCCTCGTAGGGTCTTGGTGAACGAATGAGACAGGAGAGGAGGCTTGGGGTCCGTTAGGCCCAGGACTGGGCTCCACCTGCCTGTGACTCGTAAGACACACCTGCTTCTCGCTCAGATAGTTGAGAGGGCCTGGTTTCCCTCCTGAGCGTGTCGTAGGCTCCCTCTGCTGGACGGTTCGGGAGCGACAGGCTCTAAGGAGTTCGGTCTCCATTTAGCGTGTATGTGTGTGTGAGACCGTGTGTGTGAGAAGCTGTGTGTGTAACTGTGTGTGGCTTGGTGTGTTAGGGAGAGAGGAGGGGAGACCCTCACTCATTGGACGACTGTAACTGTCCACATCAGGCTGTGCTCCTGCTCAAGGCAGGAGCCCCTGAGCGGTCCCCCATCCTGCCTTGCAGCAAGCAGGACATTCAGGAGAAATAACGTAACTGCAGCAGCCCTGACTAATGACAGTTGGGTGCTTGTTCTCTGCTCTCTCCCAGAGGTCTCCAGAGGGACTGAGCCCCGGGTGCCCACAGGGGGACTTCCTCTCTAAAGCACTTTTCCTTGCTGCCTTCCCTTGCCCGTCTCACTTTTTGACTGCCCTATTGTTATTTCCTGAGATTGCCTCCCAAAGAAGAAACTTGTGTTGACTTTTTGCTTCAGAATAAAGTATTTGCCCTTGAATCCTTTTATCACAGTCTGCTTTCAAGGAATGCAAACTAACATACACACATAGGCCTGTTATTATGACCCTTGTACTGAGGAGGGGTGTGAGGATCAGAGAGAGCAAGTCGCTTGCCCAAGGTCTGCAGCTGGAGAATGGCAAAGCTGGGCTTTGACCTTGGGCCCTCTGACCCCAAGTCCAGTGCTTGTTTCCCTCCTGGAAGCCCTCTTCCTTGCAAAGTGCTGAGGGAATGGAGTCCTTCACAGCTAGTCAAGTCCATAATGTGTATACCAGAGGTCCTTAGACTCATTCGTGGCTGGTTCCTGTCTCTTCATTCTGTCACAAAATAAGAGAAATAATGGCAAACACATGCTTGGTGCTGACTATGTGTCAAGGGAATGTTTTAATAAGCATTTTATTTGTTTATCTCCTGTCTCCAAAATTGCATGGGTTTGGTGTAAAAAAAGTTGTAAATGTGAACATTTTAAAGGGAAATTCTACTTTTGCTCCCCATCCCCAGTCCAGCAGTTTGGTTTGATTTTTTTTTAGTTTTGAAAATTACATATATGAACATTTTCATATATATATATACTTATGCATACATAACCACTTTTTAAAGAGAATACATATATATTTTTTAGATTTTATTTATTTATTTATTTATTTTTAGAGAGGGAAGGGAGGGAGATAGAGAGAGAGAGAGAAACATCAATGTTCGGTTGCTGGGGGTTATGGCCTGCAACCCAGGCATGTGCCCTGACTGGGAATTGAACCTGAGACACTTTGGTTCGCAGCCCGAGCTCAATCCACTGAGCTACGCCAGCCAGGGCTTAAAGAGAATAGTTTTTAAAAAAAGATTTTATTTATTTACTTTCAGAGAGAGGGAAGGTAGGATAAAGAGAGGGAAAGAAATATCAGTCGGTTGCCTCTCATACACACTCCATCCTGGGACCAAACCCACAACCCAGACAAGTGCCTTGACCAGGTATAGAACTCGTGACCCTTCACTTTGTGGGACGATGCCCAACCAACTGAGCTACACTGGTCGGGACAAGAGAATTTTTTATAAGAATTCATTTGAGCCAAACTGATGACATATGCCAGTGAGCAAGATCTCAGTGCTTCCACACATAATCATTTTTTTTGAGGATTCCAAACATATTAAAAAATACAATCTGGCCCTGGCTGGTGTGGCTCAGTGGACTGAGTGCCTGCCTGCAAACCAAAGGGTTTAATTCCCAGTCAGGGCACATGCCTGGATTCCAGGGCAGGTCCCCGGTAGGGGATGCATGAGAGGCAACACACATTGATGTTTCTCTCTGTGTCTCCCTCCCTTTCCTCTCTCTAAAAATAAATAAGTAAAATCTTTTTTTAAAGTGATGCAGCTTTTTAAAAAAAGATTTTATTTATTTATTCCTAGAGAGAGGGGAAAGGAGGGAGAAATAGAGGGAGAGAAACATCAATATGCGGCTGCCTCTCACACGCCCACAACTGGGGATCTGGCCTGCAACCCAGGCACGTGACCTGACTAGGAATTGAACCCATGACCCTTTGGTTTGCAGGCAGGCACTCAGTCCACTGAGCCACACCAGCCAGGGCAGTAAATAAAATCTTTAAAAAAATACAATCTGTTCCAGTTAGAATATTATTGTACAATGAACTACCAAGAAGTTTAGTACCTTCAACTGACAAACTTTAGTTTGCTCATCAATTTGTAATTTGGCAGGGCTCAGTTGGGTTGGTTTTCTCTACTCTATGTGGCCTCACCTGGGAAGCTTGTCTGAAGCCAGAAGATCCACTTCCAAAAGAACTCACTCTCGTGGCTGGCAATTTGGTGCCAGCTGTTGGCTGGGGTCCTCAGTTCCTGCCAACGTAGGGCCTGTCCGTGGGGTTGCTTGAGCTTCCTCTGCACATGGCAGCTGTGTCCATGAGGGTGTATTACAAGGGGCCTGGAAGGAAGCTACAAGTCTTCTTATGATCTAGACTCCAAGTCCCAGATGACACTGAGAACAGCTCAGGTTCAAGGAGAAAGGAATTAGATTTGTCTCTGAGTCAGTCAGTGTTCTCCAGAGAAGCAGAACTAATAGCATCTATTTATCAGTCATCTATTTATCTATCTACTCATCCATTATGTATTCATCACCTATTATCTATACCATCTGTCTAGCTATCATTTATCTCTATATATCATCTATCAGTCTTCTATATACAGTTATATTTATCCTAAGATTTATGTGTGATATAAATCTTACATGTACATTTATATCTTAAGACTTATACAAACTTATGTTAAGGTATATATTTTTCTCAAGATTGTGTATGTGTGTGTGTGTGTGTATTCATTGTACTGCTTGGGAAGGAGAGGGGACAAATGACTTCTTTTTATGACACACCGCACTTCCCAAGTCTCCCCCTGTGGATGTGGTGGTAGTCAGGCTAATTTTTGTGGACAGCCCTCATGCAGTAAACAGAGAGAGACTGAGAGAGACATGCAGTCAGTGTTTCAATGAGTTATCACCACATAACAAAGAGCCCCCTACCCCAAACTTAGTGGCTTAAAACAATGACCATTTTATTTTCTGCACATCAAGTGGTCGTTTGGAGGCTCCACTGGGCTGGACGGTCCAAACAGCTCTCTCACATGGCTGGCAGTTGATAACTGGCTGTCACAGCAGGGAGGTCAGTGGGGGCTGTTGATCAGTTTTACATGTGTGAGGACTTTCCACGTGGCCTCAGCTTCCCTACAGCATTCAACGTGTCCTGTGAGCAAATAGAAGTGTACGCTGCCCCCATCATCATGGCCATCATTGGCATGGAACGACGTGTACACATACTATTGACAAAGCATCCCAGGCCAGTCCAGATTCAAGGAGAAGGAAAACAAGGTCTTCTTACTGGGGAAAATGGCAAAAATCCTGCAGTCATCTTCTCGGGGGGTCTGGGTTAGAGCCTGAGGTCCTGCATTTCCAAGATGCTGCATGTGACAGCCAGGCTGCTGGTCTGAGGACCACAATTGGAGCAGACAGTTCTTCAGCTCATGGCTCCTAAGTCCCTTCCTTCCCTAAATAGTTAATGAGCACCTACACTGTGCCAGGATTCACTTTCTCCTGTGCTGTCATGTTGAATGACTTTGCCGTGTGGTGGGTACAAGGTCTCGCACCTTTTTGGACACCTGTTTCTTCTTCTTTCTTCCTGCTGCTTCCAGGCCTCTCTGGCCAGCCCTGCTGCCTCTCGTCCACCCTAGCCCTGCTCCTGGCTCTTCTGCAGATGGACCTGCCAGCAGGTGGCCCCAGCCCAGCAGAGGAGGAGGAGGATCTAGGACAGTGTGCCCCAACCTGCTGGGGGCTCCAGGAACAGCCACCTACAGCTGGGTCACGTAGGACTGGAGGAGTAAGGTGGCGGGGTGAGAGGAAGTTTGACATTTCCCTAACATTCTATCCATTGTAAGAGGAAAGTCTGCCCCAATCTTTCCACTCAGCTGCATTCTTCAAACTCGAACGCATTTTGGAGCCTGACTGTGGGGAGATCTCATAGGGGCTGAGAAGCCCTCACAGGGAAATGTGGGAAGGAGCTGGACAACTTGTGACCCCTCTCGGGCTCTCACCCCAGGTGGGGAGACTGAGCCCAGGAGGGGCCAGCACAGCCAGCAGGCAGGTGAGGGCGAGGCAGACCTCCCTCGGGATCTCCCACCTCTGCTCTTGGAGGCCTGCACCCTCTTCTCATGGCCCCACAGACCCACCCCACCCGCCTCCAGGTGCCCTCTTTCCGAAGGGTCCTTCCACCCCTGAATCTGATGGGAAAGGCCCCAGCCAGGCTGGTTTCTTTTCTTCCATTCACAGCATGCAGGTCTCAGCACAGGCCTTGGGCTGCCTGGAGGCAGGGCTGTGTGCCCTGGAGGCCCCAGGGAGGTGCTTGGGACAGGACTCCATGATCAAGTTCAAGCTTTTAACTGCCAAACCCTAGCCTTGGCAAGGTAGGGGAGGAAGTGAATTTGAAGGCCTGGAGTCACTTTTGCCCACCTCCAACCTGCTCTTCCACCCCACAAGGGAGGTGCTGAGTCCTGAGGACCCAGCACCCACACCTTGTGACACTGAGCCGGTTCCTCTTGGGACCCAGCAGGCTCTAGCTCCAAGTTTTGGGTGACTGCCATCTGGGAGGAAGCAGCCTGGTATGCACGGATTGGCTGACTCAAGCCCAGCCCTCCCTAGTTAGAGGTCAAGCAGGGACCAAGACCCCAGGGGGAGGGTGGGGGAAGCGAGAGGTTTCGTGGGACTTGGTGCTCCAGGCAGAAGGTACCAGGCTGAGGCTGCTGGGCTGACTGGGTGGGGAAGGGTGCTGGCCAAGGCTGTGGTGGCTCCAGGGAGCAAGCTGGCCCCGGGGCAGCATGGTTTCCTTGTAACAGGAGCTCCTGGCAACCTTCCACTGGCTGATTCCTTTCAGCAGTTCTTCAGTCATCTTTCTTTCTCCTTTTTCCTTCCCTCTCTCTCCTTCTCCCCCTCTGTCTTTCTCTGTCTCTGTCTCTTCTCCTTCGTCCTCTGCATTTCCCTGGGTCTCCCCTCTCTCCTGAGAACCCATTCACCCACCTCTGAGCCCTCGCTTCCCTGTCCCCAGCACTCACCTGGCCCTCTGTGTCCCTGTCCCTCACACCCTCTGCCCCCTCCCTCTGTCTGTGAGCTGGTCTCTGCCTCTGAGCTCACCTATTCCTGCCCCCCAACCCGCCCCCTCCTTGGCCTCAGGAGTGCCCCCTCTGTCTGCCCTGCAGGATGTCACAGCTGAGCCTGTCCTGGCTGGCACTGGGGCCACTGGCAGCCTCCCCGTGGCTCCTCCTGCTGCTGCTGGGGACCTCCTGGCTCCTGGCCCGAGTCCTGGCCTGGGCCTACACCTTCTATGACAACTGCCGCCGCCTCCGATGTTTCCCAGAGCCCCCAAAGCGGAACTGGTTGTTGGGTCACCTGGGTCTGGTGAGTGTGGGCAGCAAAATGAGTCCTAGTCGTCAGGGTGGGTGGGCTCCCCGGGGGATTGGGAATGGAGCTCAGGTGCTGGGCTGAGTTCTAGGGCAGCAGAGAATCAAGGGGGCTCTCTTTCCTCACTCCCCACCAGGTCCATTCCTGTCCTCAGTGCACCTCATGCCCTGAAACCTTTCTTGCTTTTACCCTTCCTCACTCCGAGACTGCTCCAACTCCTGTTCCTGCCTGTCTCTCCCCACCAGTGCACCTCTGAGGGCTTCCCACAGCAGGCTGCAGAGAGCCAGGTCTACTGGTGTCCCCATAGTCCCCACCACCGGACCAGAGGCCTCCCTGTGTCCTCTCCCTGCCTGACCCATGTCTGTTGGCCTCAGGCCGGTGTCTGCTCCTCTCTGGGCCTCTGCTTCCCCAGAGGAATTAACTGTAACTTCTGCCATCCCTTCCCCCATGGGGACAGAGCTGGGCCACAGTCTCTCCTCCCCCTCCTCAGGCACTTCTCTTTTCTGGCCTTCTAACCCTGCCCACCATCCTCCTTCCTCTCTGTTTATCTGTGGGCCCCATTGCCCAACTGGGATCAAAGTCTACCACTCCACCTTTCAGAGGGAATCACTCTGGCCTCTGCCCTCAAGACCAAGCTCCCTGGAGGGGGCTCTTGCCCACCCCCAATTCCTGGTCTTCTCCCCAGAGATGTGTTGTCCATGCTGCACCCTCCCCCTATTGCCACAGTCACACTTTGGAGTTTGTCATCACCTTTGAAGGCTCTACCTCCAAAGCCACTGACCTGAGTGCTGCATCCTCTGAGCAGAAGCCCCTCTTCCTCCTAGCTTCTTTCTTCTTCTTCCTCTCCCATCTAAGTCCCTGCCAGGGTTCCCAGTCCCTTCTCCATCCCTGACCAACTGCTTCCTTCTGACTCCACTTCCTTGGATGCATTTAGCTTGGATGCCACCCATTGCACATGGGCTGAAGTCTCTTGCCACTCGAGCTTTCCTTCACAGCCCTTTGGAAAAGCTTTGCCTGTTTGAGCTCAATCACCACGTTGTCTGATTGGTGCTCCATGATGATGCTAGAGAAGGTCGTGAAATGGGACAGAAGGGTGACAGCTAACCTCCCACCCGCCCATTTCCAGTGCACTGCAATCTGCACAAAACCTCCTGTCTGCTTGCTTGGCTCTCTCCTCACGGACAGGCTTGTCTTCCTTTGTTGCCTCCGTTTCCCCACCCGATCCCGTCTGGCCCACCCCCATCATGCTCCTGTGAGGGGCATGTGAACTCCAGGTCCCTCAGTCCCATCTCGTCCACCTCCAAGCGACTCTGACCTTACTCACCACTCTGCTACCTTAGAACCTCTTTGTTTTCTTGGTTCCAGTTTGAGTCCCTGTCCTAGTCTTTCTTGACTGCTCTGTGACTCTGTCTGTAGTTGTGGCTCCTCCTTCACGGCACCTTTCCATGTAGGAATCCCCCAGAGTCCTAACCCCTCCTTTTTCTCCCAAGGCCGCCTCCTTATCCAGGGCTCCAGCTCCTGAGTAGACAGACCATCAGTCCCCGCTGCATAAGTGAATTCCAGGGTCATGTTTCCCCTGAGTCTGAGGCTGTGTGTTCAGCCCCTTCCTCCCCTCCTCACATGGGGATCTCATAAATACCTCATTCCCCCAAGACAGAATCTGAATTATGGCTCCATTCCCAACTCTGCCTCTGCCCTTAGTCTAGTTCATCCTTCCAGTTGCCCACTTCCCACCCTTTAGGGTCTCCTGGCCCCTCTCTTCTCTCACCTGTACATCTGGTCCTTTGTCACACCTGGCTGTGTCGCCTCCACAATCTCTCCTCAGCCTGTCCCCTCTCTGCATCCTCCTGCCACCCCCAGTCCCATCCACCACCATCTTTCTTCGGAAGCCTCTCCCAGCTCACTCTCTGGTCTCCTCATTTTGGCTCTTGTTTCCTATTATCCTCTCTCTCTTTAGGGTTGGAGAGATTTTTCTGAAATTTAGTTGAGATCATGCCTCTTCTTGGTTAAAAACTGTTTGATGACTGCCCATCACTCTGGAGATAAAGACTAAATTTTGCCTGCCCTTGCTGACCCCATCTACACGCGCCCCCCGCCAGCTCCTGCTCTATTGCTCCAGTGAGTCAAGCCCCTCCTACCCCAGGGCCTCAAGGCCCTCCTACCCCAGGGCCTGGCTCATACTGCTCTTTTGACTGGAAGCACTTCCCTTTCTGTCAATTCCTGGTTGATTCCTCCTCATCCTCCCACTTGCAGCTGAAATGTAACTTCTTTATGGAAATTGTTTTTGACTCCCAGACCTTGACCTCTGACTTGGTCCTGCTCACACTTAAACAGTTAATTGACCAATTATTTATTATCCATCTCACCTATTAGGTAATGGCCCTGGGGGGTAGACACAATATCTACAGTGTCCATACACTTAATGAATGTTTGATGATGTCATGGTGGAGGCCATGTTCTGGGCCTGGGTGAACTTGCAATCACCTCCTTTGGTCTTCCAAGGCCAAAGCTGATGAGCAACCACGTCCTCTCCTCTCTTCCCCACTCCTCCTGCCAGCTCATCACAGAACTGGAGGTTCCAGGCTCGTCCTGAAGGCGGGCTGAGATTCTGGTTCTTAGAATGATTTCAGCGAGCCCTGGAGTCAGAGGGAGTGTTAGAAAGTTACCGCAGCTCTGACTCCCCCTCCAAGGGCTTGGGCATGGAACATGGCCTTAGGTGCTCTTCCCTTCTCCAGTCCTACTTGCTGTGTGACCTCAGCTAAGTTACTCTTCCTCTCTGGAACAATCCCATCAAATGCTTCAGGGTCCTTGGAGAGCTGGGAGCAGGTCACAAAGTGAAAACAACTTATGTTCACCTGCCTAGAGCACCTGGGGTATTTGTCAGGCTCTGATGGGGCATCCTGAGGGACTGGAGAGGATGCCTCATGAGGAGAGGATCCATCCTCCTTCCCTTTTTAGGTGACATGGCTTCAGTTTCTCATTTGTAAATGGTACGATGAATGGGTACGTCCATAGCTTCAGGAGAGATAGATAGACAGGATATACTGTGAGAGATGATGGATAGATGATGTATAGACAGATAATAGAAAAACAGGTGATGGATGGATGGATATATATACAGATGACTAGACGATGGATGAATAGATAGATTGTGAATGGATAGATGATAGATGATGGATGAATAGACTGATTGATAGATTGATAGATACAGATAGATGATACATATATAGATGAATGATAGATTGATAGATAGAGATGATAGATGAATAGGTGATAGGCAGACACATGCATAGAAGCAGGAGATAGATGCATGTGCACTGTGTATGTACTATTTACCTGTCTCTCTCTGTGTTCTTCTCTGTCCTTCCCTCACTCTCTCTGTTTCTCTCTTTATTTGCCCTTATTTCTCTGTCCATCTCTCCAACTCTCCATCAGTGTCTCCTCATCTCCGTGCCCTCCATGACTCCCCATCACCCTCACAATCAATCTCCTGCCTCTACCCACTCACTGTTCCTTGCTTGATCTGCTCCCTTCTCTGCCTCTCTCTGCCATTTACCCATTTCACTCCAGCTGCACTGAACTCCTTCCTGCTGCTCACAGCCAGGTGCTGGCTCTCTCACCTCCAGACCTTGAGTAATCTACCTCTTTCCATCCATCCATTATCTATCTATCTATCTATATCTATCTATCTATCTATCTATCTATCTATCTATCTATCTACTATCTATCTATCATCTCTCTCTTTCTGTTTCATCTACCTAAAGAAACAGAGAAATAAAAAGAGAGAGGGGACAGGGAAAGACATAGGTAGATAGGCACAAGAAAAGACAGAGGCCAACAGACAGAAGCTGACATAGTGAGATGGAGACAAGTGTAGACCAATAATCCAGGCAGAAGCAGTTAAAGGAGTGAGTGGGGTGTGGTGGTTAGGGAGTACAGTGGAAAGCTGTGGCCCTCTTCCAGGCCTTGCCTCATCCCCATTAATTCACAGGTGAAGACCAATGAGGAGGGCTTGCAGCTGATAGAGAAACTGGGCCACTACTTCCGTGACATTCACCTTTGGTGGCTTGGACCCTTCTACCCTGTCCTGCGGCTCATCCACCCTAAGTTCATTGCCCCTCTGCTCCAGGCCCCAGGTATCTCTCTCAGGAGCCCCCAACCCCTTCCCTTGCTTCTGTTCCTAGCCCTTCCCACCCCTAGAGAGACCAGGTTGAGTAGGAGGATGGGGCAACATTGACAGAGACCATAGCTGGGACTCTCACCTGCTGGGTGACTCTGGGAAGGTCCCTGGCTCTCTCCAGTTGCCAAAGTGTCTTTCAGTTTGAGTGATGGAGTCTCATCATTGTTGGTCTAAATAAAGAAGGGAGATCTATTGACTGAAAAGCTCAGGGAGGACTGTCCTGAGGCACACCTGGATCCAGGTCTTAAAGAATGCCATTGGAAATGGGTCTTCATCTCAGAGTTCTGTGTTACTCTGCACTGGTTTCACCCTTGTGCTAGTGAAAAGGCATCCCAGAGCTCACCTGCCCTGGAAAAGGGAGCTCATTTCTTACAGACCCAGGGAAAATGAAAGGATTCCTTAAATTGACCTGGCTTGGGTTACAGGGACCAGTTCCTTATCTAATCACTGTGACCTAATTGCCCAGGCTCGGGGCCATATGCCTAGCTCTGGAGTGAAGGCTGGATTGGCATGGCCACCCTCCTGACCACTTGAATTGAGAGCAGAGAAGGGGAGGGACTCTGGACAGGCCAATCCCAGATGTCCATCTACCAACATCCTTGCTAGATGGGCACTTCCTGGGTGAGAAAACTGAGGTTCAGAGAGGCATAGTGACTTCTCAAGGCCACAGAGCATGCAGAAGCTTCTCCTTAGTTCTGTCTTTTCTCAGTTGCCCTCCCTAGCTGCCCTTGATGGGAGGGACCCTAAGCTAGAAGGTGATTTGGGATGGGAAGACAGATAGCCGGCCTATTGTGGGGGAACATCCACCAGACCCCCAGGTTGGTTAACTGTGTCTGGTTGGCCTTGGGGTGTGTTCTAGAAGGAACAGTGGCAGCTCTTCATGGTGAGAAGGGCAGCATCCCCTGGTCTCTTTAAGGACAGAAGAGCCCCTGAGCTAAGCACGTACTGCTGAGTGAGAACCCTATGGAGGAGAACATGAGAAAGCCTGGGTCACCCCTGAGCTATGATGGGACAGTAATGAACCGTATTTAAGTCCTGTTTGTGGGACACACTGAGGTCATGCAAGATGGTTTTTTGTCCATGTCAGAGCATGTCATGTTATGTCAGGCCATGACACACATGTTGGGGACATGTCAGGGCATGTTAACACATGTGTTGTGTTGGATATCCCAAGAGATGTCAGATAGTTCTTGGGAAGATTGCTGTCTGAGGTCCCTGTAAAGGCATCTAGTAGAGCGCTGGGCTCTGCTCTGGTGTGTAGAACATGTTGAATCATGTAGGAACCATGTCAAGGTGTGCTGGGCATATCATGCCATGTTGGGGTACATCTAAGCATGTAGGGGTATGCCTTTGGGATCTGGTCTCCCCTTGCCTCCGCCTTCCTTATTATTTTCTCTGCCTTTGTCCCATTTCTGCTATGCTGGACTTGGAGAGGGAATGCTATTCCTGGCTAGGTGCCTCCTCCCCTCTCCAAAAGTCTCTCTCCTCCCCCTCTGCATGGTCCCTGATGGTCCTCATTCATGTCAGCCACTGTTGCACCTAAGGATAGACTTTTCTACAACTTCATGAAGCCTTGGCTGGGTGAGTAACTAGGGATGAAGGGGATTGGGGCATCCTTGGGGGACCAGGGGAAGGCATTGCCCTTGCCCACTCCCTGTGGCTGCCTCTACTAGGGGATGGGCTTCTGCTGAGTGCTGGTGACAAGTGGAGCCATCACCGTCGTCTGCTGACACCTGCCTTCCACTTTGAAATCTTGAAGCCCTACATGAAGATTTTCAACAAGAGTGCAGACATCATGCACGTGAGTCTCTTCAACTCAGGGTCCCAGTTGAAGCCTTGGGAAAGTGGCTGGGGGTTGGCCCCAGACACATCGTCTGGAGTCCCGGCTCTGTTGGATGGTTTTGGGGCCAATGAGTTTCCCCTCTAAGCCTCGGCTTCCTCATCTGTAAAATTGAAATAATAATCCCTTTTAAATGGTGGTGGAGATGACGTAATGAATCCTGTTCCTGGCACTAGTGGTCAGAAAGCTTTAGTTTCTAGTCTGCTCCCTGAAGCCCTCTAAATTCAAGGTGGTAACAATAAATATTGAATAGTAGCCTTTTCCACATAACATACCACCTTAAAACTCATGGACTTGAAAAAATTAGTATTTGTTATTGCTCATGAGGTGATGGATCAGTTGAGTGGTTCTTGTCTTGGCTGGAATCACACAATGTCTGGGGTCTTGATGGGGTTTGGTAGACAGCTCTGCTGATTCAGGCACAGATCCATCTCATGTTTGAGGCTTGACCAGCTGTTGGCTGGTCTAGGATGGCCTTCGTCATACAACTGGACTCCTGCATTTGCTTTTCATTTTCTAGTAGGCTAGCCTGGACTCTTTGCATAGTGGAAACTATATTCCAAGAGAACAAGTAGAAACATGTAGTAACTCTTGAAGCCCAGTTTCAGAATTAGCACACCATCATTTCCATCTTCTATTGGCTGAAGCATGTTGATATCCAGCTCAAATTCAATAGGTGATAAAGAGGTTCCACCTCCTAATGGAGGAACTGCAGTGTCTCATTGAAAAGGATGAGGATATAGGGAGGGACAAAAAGAAGGGAAATATTTTTGCAGTCACCTACCACTATGATGATGATGAAGATGATGATAATAGCTAACAATTACTTACTTAACATTTACTGTACATTAAAAAATGATGTGCTGGTTCTATGGCATATGTTGTATAATTTGTAGAGATGATTATTGTTTATTATTTTTTTAATTATTTAAAAATATATTTTATTGATCATACTATTATAGTTGTCCCATTTTCCCCCCACTATTCCCCTCTGCCCAGCACCCCACCTCCCACCAGCATGTCCATGGGTTGTACATATAAGTTCTTTGGCTTTTCCATTTCCTACACTATTTTTAACCTCCCTCTGTCTATTTTGTGCCTATAAATTATGCTTCTTATTCCCTGTACCTTTCTCCCCATTCTTCCCTCTCCTCTTACATGCTGATGACCCTCCATATGATCTCCATTTTTGTTATTCTGTTCCAGTTCTAGTTGTTTGCTTAGTTTTTTTTAAGTTCAGTTGTTAATAGTCATGTTCTCATCATTTTACTGTTCATATTTTTGCTCATCTTCTTTTTCTTAGATAAGTCTCTTTAACATTTCATATAATAAGAACTTGCTAATGATAAACTCCTTTAACTTTACCTTGTCTGGGAGGACTTTATCTGCCCCTTTATCTGATCCATTCTAAATGATTGCTTTGCTGGATAGAGTAATCTTGGATGTAGCTTCTTGCCTTTCATGACTTTGAATACTTCTTTCCAGCTCCTTCTTGCCTGCAAGGTTTCTTTTGAGTAGTCAGCTGATAGTTTTATGGGAACTCCTTTGTAGGTAACTGTCTCCTTTTCTCTTGCTGCTTTTAAGATTCTCTCCTTCTTTTTAACCTTTTTAAAAAATTTTATTTTAATCATTGTTCAAGTACATTTTTCTGTCCTTTATTCCCATTCCAGCCCACCCCTTCCCATCTCTCTGCCGTTTCCACCCCCCCCCCCCAGTTTTTGTCCATCTGTTTTTTATAACCAAATGGGTTCCTGTAAACCCATGTAAGGATGGGTTCCTGTAAGAATGGGTTCCCATTCTTCCCTGAAATTCCCTCCCCTGTTCCCTCTGGTCATTGTCAACCTGTCCTCTATTTCAGTGTCTTTGACTATATTTTGCTTGTTTCTTTGTTTTGTTGTTTAGGTTCCTGTTAAAGGCGAGATCACATAGTATTTGTCTCTCACCTCCTGGCTTATTTCACTTAGCATAATGCTTTCCAGCTCCATCCATGCTGTTGCAAAGGTAGGAGCTCCTTCTTTCTTTCTGCTGCATAGAATTCCATGGTGTAAATGTACCATAGTTTTTTGATCCATTCATTTACTGATGGGCACCTAGGTTGCTTCCAGCACTTGGCTATTGTAAATTGTGCTGCTATGAACATTGGGGTGCATAGGTTCTTTTGGATTGGTGTTTCAGGGTTCTTAGGATATAGTCCCATCAGTGGAATTGCTGGGTCAAAAGGCAGGTCCATTTTTAGTTTTCTGAGGAAGTTCCATACTGTTTTCCATAGTGGTTGTACCAGTCTGCAGTCCCACCAACAGTGCACTAGGGTCCCCTTTTCTCCACAACCTCTCCAACACTTGTTTGTTGCTTTGTTTATGATGGCCATTCTAACTGGTGTGAAGTGGTATCTCATTGTGGTTTTAACTTACATGTCTCTGATAGCTAGCAATATTGAACATCTTTTCATGTGTCTGAATCCTCTGAGAAGTCCTCCTTGGAGAAGTGTCTGTTCAAGTTCTCCTTGGAGAAGTGTCTGTTCAAGTCCTTTGCCCATTTTTTAATTGGATTGCTTGTCTTCTTAGAGTGGAGTTGTATAAGTTCTTTGTATACTTTGGAGATTAAACCCTTGTCTGAGGTATCATTGGCAAATATGTTTTCCCATACAGTTGATTCTCTTTTTATTTTAATACTGTTTTCTTTAGCTGTGCAGAAGCTTTTTATTTTGATGATGTCCCATTTGTTTATTCTTTCCTTTATGTTCCTTATTCTAGGGGACATGTCAGTAAAAATGTTTCTGCATGAAATATCTGAGATTTTCCTGCCTATGTTCTCCTCTAGGATTTTAGTGGTGTCACAGTTTATATTTAAGTCTTTTATCCACCTTGAATTTATTTTTGTGTAAGGTGTAAGATGGTGCTTGAGTTTCATTTTTTTTTTTTTGCACATAGCTGTCCAGTTCTCCCAACACCATTTGTTGAAGAGGCTATTTTTACTCCATTTTATGTTGCTGCCCCCTTTGTCAAATAGTAATTGACCATAGAGACTTGGGTTTATTTCTGGGCTCTCTGTTCTGTTCCATTGGTCTGTGTGCCTGTTTTTATGCCAGTACCAGGCTGTTTTGATTACAGTGGCCTTGTAATATAGTTTAGTATCAGGTATTGTGACCCCTCCTACTTTACTCTTCTTTCTCAAAATTGCAGCAGCTATTTGGGGTCGTTTATGGTTCCATATAAATTTTTGAAGTGTTCACTATGTCTGTGAAATATACCATTGGTACTTTAATAGGTATTGCATTGAATGTGTAAATTGTTTTGGGTAGTATGGACATTTTGATGATGTTAATTCTTCCAATCCATGAACACGGTATATGTTTCCATTTGTTTGTGTCTTCCTTGATTTCTTTCTTCAGTGTTATGTAGTTTTCTGATTACAGGTTTTACCTCTTTGGTTAGGTTTATTCCTAGGTATTTTATTTTTCTTTTTGCTATATCAAATGGGATTTTTTTCTTGATTTTTGCTTCTGCTGTTTCATTGTTGGTGTGCAGAAATGCCTTTGATTTCTGGATATTGACTTTGTATCCCGCTGTTTTGCCAAAGTTATTTATTAGGTCGAGCAGTTTTTTGGCCGAGTCTATAGGATTTTCTATGTACTATCATGTCATCTACAAACAGTGACAGTTTTGTTTCTTCCTTTTCCTCCAAAGGATTTGGATGCCTTTTATTTCTTCTTCTTGTCTGATCACTGTGGCTAAAACTTCCAGTACTATATTGAAAAGAAGTGGTGAAAGTGGACAGCCTTGTCTTGTTCCTGATCTTAGCAGAAAAGATTTTAGTTTTTGCCTATTGAGTATGATGTTGGCTGTAGGTCTCTCATATATGGCCTTTATTATGATGAGGAATGCTCCCTCTATTCCCACTTTGCTGAGTGTTTTTATCATAAATGGGTGCTGTACCTTATCGAATGGCTTTTTCTGCATTTATTGATATGACCACATGATTTTTGTCTTTGCTTTTGTTTATGTGATGTATTACATTTACTGATATTGTGCCATCCTTGCATCCCTGGGATGAATTCCCCTTGGTCATGGTGTATGATCTTTTTAATGTATTGTTGGGTGTGGCTTGCCAATATTTTGTTGAGGATTTTAGTGTCTATGTTCACCAGCGATATTGGCCTGAAGTTTTCTTTCTTTGTTGTGTCTTTATCTGGTTTTAGGATTAGGATGATGCTGGTTTCATAAAAAGAGTTTGGGAGTCTTCCATCATTTTGGATTTTTTGGAATAGTCTGTGAAGGATTGGGGTTAGCTCTTCCTCAAATGCTTTGTAGAATTCTCCTGTGAAACCATCTGGTCCAGGGCTTTTGTGTGTTGGGAGTTTTTTTATTACTGCTTCAATTTCATTTGCTGTTATTGATCTGTTCAGGCTTTCTGCTTCTTTTTCATTGAGTTTTAAAAGATTACATTTTTTGAAGAAATTTGTCCATTTCACCTAGGTTTTCAAATTTCTTGGCATACAGTTCTTTGTAGTAATTTCTTACAATCCTTTGCAATCCTGTGGTATCAGTTGTAATCTCTCCTCTTTCATTTCTGATTGTGTTTATTTGGGTCTTCTTTCTTTTTTTCTTGATGAGTCTGCTTAAAGGCTTATTGATTTTGTTTATCTTTTTAAAGAACCAGCTCTTGGATTCATTGATCCTTAGAATTGTGCTTTTAGCCTCTAGGTCATTTAATTTTGCTCTGATCTTGGTTATTTCCTTCCTTCTACTTGCTCTGGGCAGTCTTTGTTGTTGTTCCTTGAGTTCTTGTATACATAGGGTTAGGTTGTTTGTTTGAAATGTTTCTATTTTTGGGGGGTAGGCCTGTATTGCTATCAACTTACCTCTCAGGATTGCCTTAGCTGGGTCCCATAAGTTTTGGGTTGTTGTGAGTTCATTTTCATTTGTTTCCAGAAACTTTTTGATTTCTTCCCTAATTTCATT